TGCTACATGGCTCTGGGAGTGAGCAGAACAGCTCCCCTGGGGCTGCTTTCAGATGCAATAGGCCTCCTGGCCTATAGTTTAAAAGCTTACATTGAGTTTCAGGGGTTCAACTTGACGTAACTTTCACCTGTGCAAGGCAGGTGCTTGTATTCCCTCCTGGAAGGATGCATCCCTACACTTGCCGTGGAGGCAGCTCTGTAGACCCTCAGACAAGACAACTGCTTTTACTTGCCCAGCCCTCAGTGTGATGAATCCTACCATATTCTTTTTTCCTAAATCCAGTCTTCTTTCAGAATATCACTAAAGTTTCTTACTTTCAAAAGCTGGCCCATTGCATTTTAGCCTTACAATCTGCTGGTTACTAAAGCACGATGCAGCAGAGGTTTACCTGGCCAGCCACCCTACCCAGTGAAGGAGACACATCCAAAGAAAGCCTTCAGCGTGCTGTGATGCTCATTTCAACATTTCCAGAAGTAGTAATATTGTACTTTTATTCAGCATCTGCTTGAGGAAAGTGCATCTCTCATAACCATCAAAATACAAAGGCAGCCAGATGTTAACACTTCTCTTTCCACCCCTTTGTTTCAAACCGCTCTGAGGAAGCTTTATAAACCATGCTGATGAATGAAGGGTCCAGCACCAAAAAAAATGCAAGATAGGCTGTTTTATTTCTTCTTTCATGAGGAGAGAACAGCCTCCACTGAAGCAGGGAAATAGAAAATGTACCTCTGAGGCAGTCATGCAAAATTTCAGACAGAGCCTTACTCGTGTGATTCTTTTTAATCACCATCCATTTCATCTTCACTCTTCAACTAAATAATAAATACAGAGTGACTTTTTTCATTACCATTTGAGCCAGAGCTGGTCCTGGAGAAAATATGAAAATAAGGGGTGAGCCTTCAAATCAGTGGGTTTCACTGATTTTAAATACAAAGCACCTGTGTAAATTTCTAATCCAATAATTAATAATCCAGCACCTTTTTATTTTAGGAACTGTCAGGAGTAATTTCCACATCTGAGTGTAGCACACATCATAAATCCACTCCAAATGATTTTTAAATTTGTCCTTTCCAATTCCTGTTTGAAATGACATTTTGTTCTGGTTGAAGTGGCATCCTCAGACGTCTTCTCCCCTGCAATTAGCTGAGATTAAGCAGTTGGAGAACTAGCACAGCAAAGATCAGAATTGCTCAGTCCTTGATGCTTTGATCATACTGAACAGCAGAACAGCAGTAGGCTGTAGTTTGTCACTTTAAGTTGTATTTAAAAAATTATTCCTGAGACTGCTTTAAAATGATCCATAGAAGGCTGTGCCAGCAAGTGGACTGCATTTTTTACTGCTGGCAAGCAGTTTCTGCGCTAATGTCTGTCTGCAGCTTCAGTGCAAAACACTCAGAAACTCATTTTTTTCTTTGTTCAATATTTATATCTTCCTGCACTGCTTAATGACATGCTAAAAAAGAACTAAGTGCATTCCAATTTCAGATGTGGATTTATTTAATCATTGGCAATCTGAAAGTGTGTTATTAGTATTTTATATAAACATTATGGTTCATCTTTTGGAGCCTGAGTGCCGGCTGCCCCAGCAATGTGAGCAGCCTGAGACAGGCAGTACAGCACAGGGTTTTAGTCACACCCTATCCATTGAATTTAATAGCAGTTGAGCAGCTAAAACCCCTTATCAGTGCTGTGGAAGTGTATCCCAGGGTGAGCGTGCACTGGCCACAGCTGCCTGAATCCTATCAGCTAATACTGTCTGCTTGGCTGCACCCTGGGTAGAACGCGCATTTCGGGGAGCAAAGTTTGACACGTGAGCTGAGTTAATATGAGATTTGGAAACTGGGATGATCTATGCATTCACACACACTTCCTAAATGCTTTTTAAAATTTTATTATTCAGTTTCAGGTACTTGCAGGCCAGGGCACAAATGCTACAATAACAACTAGACATGGAGTACTTTGACCTTTGTACTTCCTTCAGTCCTGAGGTAAACTCAGAAGACCAAATAGACAAATAAAAAATCAAATAAGCAGACTCCCCAGACTCACAGGAATGTTTCAGATCTGTCTCCCCTCAAACTGTTGGCCTATGCTTTCAATTCCCCAAGTGCTCAACAGTTGTTTGCAGTACTGTTGCTTTTTCTTCCCCTGAACTGGCTCCTTATCTCTGTCAGCACATTGCAAGATGTTTGGCCCCTCACGAGGTAATATTTACATAGTGAAATCAAAGCCACATAAATGATGGGCTACTGATCTTGTCATGCAGTCGCCAAAATTCCCTAGCAGTTACCTGTCCCCTTGCATGTACGCAAAATGTAGGCATGTCAACATGGTGAACTGTCTGAAAAAGAGCATAATCATAGAATGGTTTGGGTTGGAAGGGACTTTTCAAGGCCATCTAGTCCAAAACCCCTGCAGTGAGCAGGGACATCTTCAACTAGATCAGGTTGCTCAGAGTAATTTAGGAGACCAATGCACCTACAGGGGAAGGTCAGAGAAGGAGCTGAGAAAGTGAAAGGAATGTAAAGAGAGATGGGAAATGGGGAGAGAAAGGTGTAGCAAGAGAAAATATTCTTCTTAAAAAAAAAAGAGGCAGAAAGAAACACTAAAAATTCATTTTGTCCTGGGGGATTTCCAGCAGGTGGACTCCTGTGGTAGATCTTTATTGAAAGGATAGCATCTGTTTTTCATAAATAGTTTTTGAGCAGTACCTCTAAATGAATTTGCAGAAGAAGGAAGCATCATTATCTTCACTATACCTGTGGGAAAGCTTAGGAAAAGGGAACTGATTTGCTTAAAGTCAAACTTTCTACCAGCCGAAACAGCAATAGTGTCTTGAGTCACCCTTCACTGCTTCCCTGGCAGAGATCTAGCTTTGCCATGCCATCAGTTCTCAGTGTGTGCAAACTAAGGCAAAGTGGGTTTGCTATGTGTTTCTCGCTGTTACTCAGCTAGATGTGTTTGCTAAGCAGACATGATCACTTTCTTCTTTTGTTGTCCAAATTTCATGGTACCTACCCCATAACTCTGTGGTTGAATAACAAAAGATGCTGTTCACCACTGCTTGAAGTTTTGAAAAAACTAGTTTCCCCACAGAGTCCCAAGAAAAATATGGATCAGTTCCCAGATAGTTAATCCCATCCAAAGAGCATCCTCTGAATGATACTGCAGGAGGCATCCCAGACAAGAGGGATGAACAAAGGATCAGCACACTTGGCCATGAAAATGGTTGGCACAGCCCAGCAATTTGAGGGGAAAGGGATCTGAAACATTTCTGAGACTTTGTCATTTTTACTTAATTAATTTTTTATTTATCCATTGGCTCTTCTCAGTTTCCCTCAGAACTGAAGTTTGAGAGGCCCCAATACTCAAAATCTGGTGGTTACTGCAGCATCTCAGTTTATGAGGCACAAGGACCCACCACATCCCCCACTGGATCACAGTTGCTGCTGGGGATGGCAGTGCAGTAACCACTCTCCCCCAGACTCGATTCCTGAAGTAGTACAAATAAACCTTACAGTATTTTCAAACATTTTGGATATGATGGAGCCTGGTTTTGGAAGGGAATTGGTTTTGACCATGGCCAATCCAATTGATACGTGATCCAGCCCACCTCTGGCACACACATACCCACCTTAAATGTTAAAAACGCAGGGAGGAAGCTAAGAAGCAACGATCAGTGGGGGCTCAGCCGCCTGTCTGCTGGCAGATCACATCTGACTCTGCTGTTCTACACATGTTCTCTGCCTCTGCTAATCCCAGTGGGCTGAAGCGATTTATTTTCCCATTCTCTTTTTGTAAACCATCCATCGGCAGCAGCCAAAGTCAATCAATTGCTTCCACCAGAGCTCACAACACAGACTATGGTCATACAAAGCAAAGATGGTAAAAAATTACAGCGAGAGAGAGCGAGGGGCTGGGGAGCATGCACAGAGCCAGCTGCTCATGGCCAGAGGTTCAATCAACCCTGCAATCTGTGACAGCCCCGTGCTACTCAACGCCAGGAACCTAGGCAGCCCCGTAGCCTGCTGAGGGCTCAGGAGCATCGCCTTCACCAGCAGAAGCCTTGTGGTCCAGCTGAGGGGCAGGCCATGGAAAAACACACAGGACAGGTGGAAATATCGCCAAAAGTCTCATGTCTGTAGAAGCAACGTTCCTTTTCGTTGAAAGTGAAGGTCATCATGTGCCATCTTTTGTTATTTTCCTTTGGGCTAGAGGGAAATTGTGAAAGGTCTGCTTCAAGGAGAAGGAGCCCTCCACTGAAACCCTAAGTGTGTTAGCTGCTTGCCCTGCACCACCCCAAAAACAGCTGCCTTGCACTCAGATATACAATATCACTAAGTGATGGATGGCAGTTGCATAAAAGATTTCAGTATGACACAAGGCAGGAGGGTACTTCACTTTAGGGAGACTATATAGGTAATTTAAGCAAGCAATGAATAACTACCAAGTTTTTATTTGTTTTTTATCCAGAGTTTAAAACTTCCGCTTTTGAGAATTTTCAGTGAAAGTTCATGATAACAAACCAGAACCTCAGTTCTGAAATGATTCAGGAAATGACACTGAATTTCACACTAGAGTTTTGGACTGGATTGGGTCAGGCAGGTGAGTCTTGATCATACTCATTAAACCAAAGTTTTCCAAATATTCTCCTGACACAGCTCAGTCTTACAAGCAAGGGTTAAAAACAAGGAATTGTACTGTTTCTTTGAAAAACAGACTGTCTCTGTTCTTCTTAAGTGTGAAAGGGAATGGGAACGGGAACATGAGCTCAGTGTGTGCTGTGTGATGGATGTGAAAAGACAACCATGCTGGGTAGCACATACTTTTCTCCATTGTGCTGCCTTCTTGGGCAGCAATGTCATCTAATTTTGCGTCCAGTTTAAAGGACCCCCATTTGCAAAGTGGTTCTGCAAATGCAAGCTATGGCATCAACACAGCCTCTCAGTTTCTTTCTAAAAACATTTAATTATTGCCACCCTTGTGTTTATTTTTCCCAGTGAACAGCAGCAAGCACATAGTGAGAAAATACCGTGGGCACCTCCGAACAAAGATTGAGTCTGGAGAAGGAACCATACCTGTCCGGTGTCATAACGCAGTTCAGACGTGGGACGGCGTGTTGCTGGGAGAGCAGCTCATCACCATGTCCTGTACAGACAAAATCGCCAGGTACCTGATGTATATACATCACAACATTCTTTGCATGTGGAAATGAAGTTTGATGCCACAGAGGACTATGGCTACTGGTGGAGAATAACTAGCAGGTGCTGACAAACCCTGCAGAAACAAAGACCTCCTTTGTATGCAAAAACAGACCATATAAATGGGATGGAATATAAATAGGACATTTTCCCAAATTCTCCATGGGTCGTTAGTTGCTTTTTACAGTGTGACAAAAATATAAACTGTCTTTGCAGCATTTTTGCCAATAGAATTTCAGTGCGCAAATAAAATACATTCACTCTGCTCTTATTGGATCATTTACCCCAAAACTTGCAAACCAACCATCATGCAGATAAACTTAGCTGGTCTGAAACCTACTGGATAAAGTGCCCTAAAAGCTGCTAGAAATATCTGTACTATTTTGAAAGTCATTGCAGAACTCTCATGTCACAGCCACCCCTGTGTCTTTCTGCTCTATCCTGTAAATACAATATATATTTACACAGAATAATTGTCATTTAATAAATATTTCATAATTATTCCATGGTGGCACATACAATGTAAACACATCCTCCATTCTCAGTTTAGGGCATTAACTAATAGCAAATGATGGCTATTAGAAACTGAAAACAAAGTGTGTGCATTTGAATGCATACTTATATATGTATATATACATCTATATCTCCCTATACATGCACGTATACTTATGCTCATAATTACATATATATTATGTGCATTAGCTATAGATGCAGCTCTATATGTAAAATACATTACATTATAGCTATAAAAATGTAGATGTTATGATCAAATTCTCTGCTGGAATATCATGTCTAAAAACTAAGTTAAATTGCATCAGCCAAGAATTTGGCCCAATTATTAAAGGTCAATATAAACATAATCTTTCAAAAAAGCATAAAACTTTTGTTTAATGCAAATGCATAAGTTCTGCTCTTAGCTTTAACTCGATGACCTACTGAAGTAAAATTAGTCTGTAGGCTTAGCAAAGCCTAGCATTTTGTCAGAAACATGTATGACAGAACCAGCAAATGGAAGTAATGACAGACTCACAAAATCCACCCTGTGCTAAGTACGATCGTTAGAACTGTTGTGATTGCATGAAAGATAAAGAGTAACTTCTGCTATAATCTTTTTATTTATTCATAAAGAGATAACAGAAAACTCAAACTGTTTTCAATGGATCTCCTGCACTCTTTTTAGATGCATTTGGGTTTTCCAGATTCAGACTCATATGGACTCAAAAAAATAAACAAATTTAAGTTTGAGAGTGGAAATATTGCATGCTCTGTAGTTTTGAATGTCGTTAGCCAGTGAATTAAACATCAGCTTTGGAAACGGTATTACATTTGCTATTGATGGGAACGTTGACAGTAATGCACAGTCTCAGAAACTGGGTTTTCTCCAAGCACATCTGCTAAGCACTTCCAGTGAATCCTTTCCTTGTTGCCACATAGTTAAACAGCATTAAGGTCTGTGAAGAAAAAAAGAATCTAACACTATGTTTCCCCAGGATAAAAATAATCTTGCCATTCTCGTCTTTGGTATTATTATTGCAATATCATATGAATTATTGACATTTTTATTTATTTGCACTGTAACTCAAGTAGGCACAGGAGTTTTCTAGATGAAAACAAAAATATGTATATCAGCAATCATTATTCCCTACTTTGAACAGCAAATATTTACATTCAACAAGGACAGCTAGAAGCACTGAGGCTGAGAAAAGCAGTGGAAAAAGCAATATTTGTAGGAACAGTGGTAGTGTTGTGGCAGTACAAATGCTTCAAATGGATATCTGCATGTTGCACTGCACTGAGGAAATGTGCAAGACGTTTTGCTGAGCAAACAGCCATGTATGCCGTGATGGGTCCAGCTAAAGAGTTTCAAGGAAGAAGGAATGGCCATTCCTAGTAAAGGGGAAGGATAGAGGTGGAAAATTATCATAGAAGAGGTTACTTGTGGTCTGGTGCGGGCAGCTCCAGTAACTAGAAGTGATGGAAACCAAATGGGGGATCCAAATAGGGATTTTGAGGAGAAAAATTCAAAGTTAATAAGTAGGAAACATGGAGCTGAATGTAAAAATAAATGCCCTATCACAAGCAAAATCAAGAAAGGCAAATGGAGTCCAGAGAGTGTGGGGGGCATCGCAATGGCATGTACCATGGTGAAGGATCTGAAAGCTTCTGGAGTAAGTACCCAAGGCTGTCTGTTCCCAACCTTGGCTGCACTTGAAGGTCATGCCTTTCCCTTCCTTCCTCTATTGCGATCACACTGTGAGACCTGATTCTGCAATTTTATTTCCACCAGTCTCACATAGATTTGTGGTATGACTTCAGTTGGGTTCACAAGTTCTAGTTTGGGAATCACTGTGCTAGTGAAAACAAAGCACCAATAGCGCAGGAAATGTTAAAACAAAAAAAATTTCTTAGATGGCAAAAAATAAGCAGTACCCTCAGGGCTGGCCACCAGTGATAACGATGCTGCAGATTTTTAGCTGCTATAAATTTTATGTAGAGTTTGGGAAAGATTGGTAAGAAGAGGCAGGGTATGGCACCTTCAATAAACTTTATCCCAAATTTTAGTTTATGACATTAAATTCAGTTTGTGATCAATTTTTATCCTTATTATCCTCACCTGTAAGGGGGAGAAATCAAAGGTTTCTTCAGCTGACCTTTGTTTCAGCACATATAGGACTGTTTTCTGCCTTCTTCATCTCTGGCCATGGGAAGTAGAGGTAGGAAAGGGGTTCAGTGGATGAGGAGATTGCTGTGTGAAGGCCCTTTCCCAGCTCCTGCCTTCACTGAAGAGATCAGCAGGTGGTTTCTGTGCCACGCTTCAGACTCCAAATATTTGCTCTACCACGTAGACAGCTGACTCTTCAAATCTTGGCAGGATGCAGGAATCTGGTTGCTCATCATCTGGACTTGTCTCACAATGAGAAAAAAAAAAGATCTCCAAAGCTGAAATTCATGTTTTTATAACCGAGATTTGACAAAAATCTGACTTGTATATTTTGGATTTTATTGCTTGTAAAAGCCCCTCAGGAGCACTGGGCTATTAGAGAATGTTTCCTCTTGAGAATCTAGCCAGATTCTAAAATATACGTCATTTTCCATTATTTGTAAAGGACATTGCTACCAGAATATCAAAGACCCAAGAACAGAGAGATTTACTCAGGGGAGTGAATAATATTCTGTAAATCATGTATCTAACGATTTATGTTCTTTCTTGCTCACAGGATAGCCATAAGCAGAGAGTGGTTTAATCAGATTTATTTGTTATTCAAAGGCATTTAGCAATTTTTATTACTATCACCACAAGTTTGAGAGAATTTGATGCTTGGTATGCATTATTTGGGTTCTGTGGCTGTGTTAAGATTGCAGGATAAACAGCCTGGTATCATACCTATTCCCTTACTGAATTAAAGCACAAACACTTCTGGCATGAATACTCGTGTTGTCTGGCTCAGGCAGGGAATTACGAGGTGAAATTCTGTGACTGCATTATATAGGAGGTCAGAATAGATCTCGGTGGTTCCTTCTGGCTTTAAAATCCTATGCATTTATATGTGCAGATTCAAAGTTTGGGCTCTGTGAATCCCCAAATAACCCACCCTAAGAGAGTGTTAACTTTTATACTGACAACTTCTGCAAGTCTCACAGTGCAGCTGAAGTGTGTTCAGCTTCTCAGTGCCATAGGTTTTTGGATTAAATCACGTTCTTTAGACTCAAAGTTCATTAGTTACTCTAGCACCTAAGATTTTGACCTCCATTTTCTTTTGTAATGTACACTGTATACACTTGTGAAAAAGCAGAAATATCCTGAGCAAAATAATTTTGAAAATTATCGGCTGTTTGGGGAAAAATTTGGGAAAGCATTTTCTTCATGCTAATCATAACTTATATTAAGACCTTTATGTCAGCACAGACATCACAGCCCTAAGATAATTTAATCTTTTTCTGATGGCAAACCCATTTATAAAACAGGCAAAATTAAACCTCTTTTCATCTCCTTCGGTCATGCTGAGGCTGGACGCAGGAGCAGCTCATACTTTTGCTTATTAGAAGGTCAGTGCAAGGTTAATGCTGCTGCTGGTGGAAGTCTCTGCAGTTGCTGTTTGAGAGCAGACAAAGGTCTGAAGGAAAACTGACATATGTACAAACATACACCCACAGGCATGCACATACACATAAGCATACACATTTAGGTAAAAACAAAAGATATCTCTCTAGACTTGTAGGGGAAATTCAGATTCTGCCACAAAGTACAGAAACCACCTTCCCTTTGTCCTCTGACTCATACTAACACTGTCTGAGCTTGAGGCCAGTCTTCTTCCACCATGGCTTATCCCCTAGGCCCACCATGCCCTCCATTTGACGACACATACCTCCCTTCTGTATAAAGTTTCCTGTTCTGTGCTCTGAGCTCTTCAAGTTGATACATCTCATCACCAGCACTTGGATCCCTTCTTATTCCATGCAGAGAAACTGGAGAAATTATTTCTCCTCACATCAACCAATCCAAAATAGCAAGGTGTTCTCCCCTGAATAGCTACACAGAAAGGTTTAATGATTACCATTGCCCATGATTTGGCAGAGGAGTGCAATAGTGCTGGGAGCACATAGAGGAGGCCATCATGGTGCTCCACAGCGTAGCAGACCCATGGTATTAACAGGCGTTCCCTGGTCCTATGTCACCACATCACCTCCACTACCATGCACGTGCAAATTATCATGAGGATCTTGGTCCAAGCACTCAACACTAAGGTTTATTTTTAAAATTTAGTTCTTATATGGGTGTACCATTAGCAACTGAGTTCTGCAGTGCAGTTTTCATCCCCAAGACCCTCTTCCTCGATAGACCTTAACAAGGGGACTGGACACCTTACGCTATGGTCAGGGCAGAGCATGTTCACATTTACTGGGTATCGAGCTGATATATTTACTTCGGAGAGATGCCAGCTTTCTGTGCATCAAACTTGCATCTAC